GACATGGGATACCGCTGCACAATAATTACTACTGCATTCGAATTCGACGAGGCCGAAATTCATGCAAGAGGTGATAACCGACTGAGCCGGGAGTTACTTAAATCATGGTTTACTGTCCCTTAATCCATTAACAAGTGCAACGAACTTCCCCTTCCACACTCGGTGCTGAGACCTTGCCTTGGCGGAGTAAATAGCTACGCGGGGAGCGCAAAGGTTAACACTTTTCCCAACACCAGGGTCGGTGCGTCAGATGGTCGAGCAGTCATCACACCAACATCCAAAGCACGTGATGTAATTGCAACAATTAACTACGCGAATGTCGACCATCAAACAGCCATCACACCCCGTGCAACACGTGGACACTCATAGGTTTGCGGTAGCATGGCGACTGCATCCTTTAAATACTGCAGTCCCTTGTGCATGAGCCACTCGTATCTACTTTGGTCTCTGATGATGGGTTCGAGCAGGAATCCGAAACGTGCGGCTATAAAGCTCTTGTCCCAACGATCTTGTCTCCTTCTTGAAGACTGCTCCTTGGGACTCGTCTCTTTGCTTCTATTATAAATCACCTTATTGGAGATCCTGGATATAACCACTTTTAATATACACCCCACAGCCTATAGGCTAGTGGATCCTTGCACCCAGTCTCTGTCTAGACCGCGGCAGCGTGCGACGGCTACTATCCAGCAAACTGAAATGCTCTTTAAGATCGAATAACAGATCAAAACAAAGACGCAATTCAGCCATCATGATTTGGAGCAGATGCTATCGAGCTTGCCAGATCAAAGGTAAGACTTCAAGACGGGGCGTGATTAGCTTAGAAACCGATCTACCCCAGCGATCGTTTGCCTGTCAAAGTAATGCGCCTGCAATCCAATCAGGACGCCCTTGCCCTTACCGAGCGCAACGGCTCATTTTTCAGTCAAGGGTCTTCAATATGCTTGCCCAAGTAGCCAAAATATCAGGACAAAGACGGTGGTGGATGTCGACGAGTAAAACGACATCCTTCTGTGCATTTAGTTGGAGAGAGCATTTTGTGAGCGGTCGCTGTCTACTAACGGTGGGGGGTGAAATATAATCAAATTAACCTACCTTTCAGTAATTAGCGCAGCTTCTGTCCTGGGACAGTGTTCTAAGATATCTAAATTCAAAAAAATCACTCAAACAACGGTTTGGCTAAAAGGAAAAGCAGACTTCCAATAAACTGTTCGAGGGCTATTTCACTTGTCATGGAGTTTACGTCTAGCCAGAGCGCAGACGGCATTTCGCCTGTCTCAAGACAACCTAGTCGATTAATTTGCAAACAGTGAAAATTTCGCGAAAAATTTTTAAAATCAGTAGATGTACGCTCAGGCAAACATTTGAGATCATTTACTCTCGCCCAGCTCATCGCCGGTCCTTGGGGATGCGGAGGAAGGGAACCACTGTTATCGAACTTGGACGGTTTATGACGATTTGACGACTGCGTCAACGTGGCCACTTTCCACGTCGTATCAAATATTCAAGCTCAAGTTGGTAGGTACCGGAGCGTTTTTGCGAGGTCGCTTATGACCTTCTTCGAATTGAACCACCTTGTTATCAACTGAGACCTTGAAGTCACTTCATATGTCGAAGGAATTATATCGGTTGGTCGACGTCAAGCACACTACATGGAAGAAAAACATTAGGGCAATCCTTTCATGCTACCTTCAGCAGCCTAAGTTGCACCTACGGCCAAATGAGCACTTTAAAAAGCTTTGACTCGTGACTGCCTGATTTCTTCCACGCCTGCAAAAATGCTCTTCCCAGGAGCGGCAGCTAGTTGAACAAATTAAAATGCACGGATGGTTTGCGGAATATAAAAGCCACACCCAAGCAACCGGCCTCATTACCTCCGAGAAGCAAAATTTTAACGATGCTGCCTAAATATTTGTGGCTCCGTTAGGGCATGCATACAGTCCTGGTGTTTCATGTTGAAAGCCATCACTGCGCAGCCATCACCACACAGCACTAGGCCTTAATTGCAATCATCTGGTACGTTCTCTCCGGCAGAACATTAATGGCCACACCCCTAATTTACAGTGATCAAAGGACAAGAGCAACGCCTCACAGCAGAGTAAAACCACGCCAAAGGGCATATTACGTCTTATGCCTTGAGGGGACATGGTAGCCGGCGGACCGCTTGGGGGCCAGTTGCCCAGGCGAGAGTGACGGTAGACTGTGACAGTGGAATTATCCAATTATGGACAAAATAGGAACGATAGCATCCGTATACGGCAGGTGACGCTATGTCACGAAATGGTTTGGCTAAATGTGAAAGATTAGACCAAGCACATCTGCTGTTTCTAAATTTTGATTAGGAGATTCGCATGGGACGTAGCAAGCCTCCTTCTCCTCATGATGAGTGCTTTTTGAGGGTTAACTTGAACGGAAAGTCGATATTTTTGTTCGTACCATTACAGTATCAAGAGGACAAAAAATATCAAAACTTTCATTTGAAAATGCTGTTAGGTTGGAAAAACAGGATTTAAGATTCGATTGCTCAAGTAAGTGGGGATAGTATGGGAAATGCATGTCTGAAGCAGGAGAATGTTTTGTGCAGTCCTGTTGTGAACCTTACCCTTTCTCCCAGGATTGGATAACAATGCACGTATAGAAGTGGAATAGCTTTCCGGAAGATCCAGTAGAGTAGAATTTGCAGAACCTGACAATGAAGCCCTATTTTAAACGCAAAATGCTTGCTGTTTTTGGTCAGAATACGCTCATGCATGCTACTACGGAGAAAGTGAAATGGATGCGTCCTAATGAAATCCTAGTTATCAGTCTGTAAGTCTATATGTGTCGCAAGGTATCCAAAGCATGCTGATGGACAGTAGATTGTCCTACCGTACCGAGGAAGCAAATAATTGTACAATTAACGTCTGCCTGACAAGTGGGCCAAGGTAATGCATGAAAGCCCTCAATCTTCAACAAAGGCGACAGTTAGATAATGGAGTCTTCTCAATATAAGTAAAATCGCTCTGTGGTGGATGATAGAATCGCATGTCGAAATAAGCCAATTAGACCAAAACGACAAAATGTAAAAAGTACGATTATATTTCTTGACGAAAAATGGCATCAATTTACTCATATAAGAAGAAATGGCGGAAGAAATATAAGGCGTTGGCGAGAAATGGACTAAAATGGAAAGAAGAGGCCTTCAGTTAAACAAAAACGCGAGAAGGCCCTTAAAAGAGTAATAAAATAGTTCGCGTAAACGCCGAAATTTGCGTTATATGTCATGCATAGCATGCAGAAACACGTTACAATTATCGCAGTAAACAACCGAATAGATAGATTAGAGTGGAAACTGCAATGTTTGAGTAGCCCCCACGACGGTATGTGGCCAAAGCGTACTTTAAAAGGCTTCCGCAATATGCTGTGTAGACAACGGTCTTCTTTTTAAGTTTAATTAGGATTTTCGAGATAACATCGTGAAATTTTAACCTTAGGTCCCAGATTTTGCAATGATAAATTCACTGCTAACCGGTCGGAATTAACTTTATTCGATATTTTGACCAAAATCGTCACACAAGACCAAAACACTTGTAAGTAAATACCACATATGACTATAATTAGCAGACTAAATAATAGGGGTGGCGGTTTCTACGCTGCGTGATTTCCTACTGTGTTGCTGAAGATGACGTGTTCTGCAGTACGAGATTCCATGCAATCTTCGCTTTGTTCTTATCTGTTGATTAAATGAGCATGTGATAAACGTGCTTTTAAACAAAACGCTGTCTTCTATAGGATTTTTTTGAAAGATTTTTTGCAAACGGCACTAAATATATCTAGTTTCATCTCTCAGACTTTGCGATGATAAATGTATAGTTGATCAGGGCGAAAGTGATTTTATCCGATATCTACACCTGAGCCCGGTGTGAAGACACAATCAAGAAGACCGGAGGCTTGGAAAAGCTCATTTGGATGCCACGGCCGAACTCTTACCATGGCGCTCCACCAAACACCCCCTGGTCCACAAAACATATTTAATTGGAATTTTATCCAACAAAAACAAAACCACAACGGATTGGAAAGACAAAGCCAATGACTGGACAGCTGGCAACGCAAGAAGACCTACCAACAAGGAACCAGAATTCGGAGAACTATTAGTGCTTTCCAGGCTGCAATGCTCAAAGTTTGCTCGTAATGGAATAGCAAACGCTTACGCACCTTTGGGCCGAAAAGAGTGACACCTTGCCCTTTTCTTAAGAAATTGTGACTTGTCCTGCCTAGAAACACCTTTGAAACAGCTAGTCCTACCATAGCCCTTGATAGAACCACTCTGCTTAAACCTACAAACACACCTAAAACTCCATCGAGACCTGTCTGAGGGTGTTCTGAGTGTAGTCATCAGGACACAGCCATGGGCCTTAATTGCGGACGCCGTGTAGAACACCAAAAACCAAATGAAGGCGAAATTTCGAGTTCCAGGTGTGTACATATTTGAAGAAGAAGAAGAAGAAGAAGAAGAAGAGTCGAGCACCAGAACAATTCGTTTATTATCCTGAGCTTTCAGACTCGTACAGGAGTCTATCGTCAGACGTAGTGGCAGAAACAGGGCAAGCGGCAGTTATAAGGCACGTAGACCCAATCATCGACCGACGTCGCACGACTGGAGGTGACTACGAAGGACTCTGTACGCCGGCGCCTGATCAATAAATCGATTGACCGAGTTCTCATCCGAGGCCCAGGCTTCAATCGATTCTCGGCCTGTTTTGTTTTCGGCGTGGACAACTATTCTGGTGGCTGCGGAGTCAAACTCGTGACCCATTTCGTAGGTGTGGGCGGTCACGTGTGACAATGCGTCGCCTCGCCGCACAGCCAGCTTATGTTCATGTATGCGCGATCCGAGCATGCGTCCAGTCTGTCCTGTGTAGTGACAAGGACAATTTTGACACGGAGTGCGATACACTACTCCAACTTGCTCTTCAGATTTTAACCGGTCTTTGATTTCCATGACCCTGTTGCGCATGGTGGCTTTAGGGCGGTGTGCGATTCCAACCCCTAGCTCCGCAGCAATGCGCTCGGTCGCTTCTGAAACACCCTTGATGGATGGCAGAGAATGCCATATCGTCGGTGGCGTTGATGTTTGAGTTCTCTGGTGGCGACCGCGTAGGCAGCGACTTATAAATGCCACTTATAAAATAGCCACTTTGCACAAACTGGTCGCGGAGATCCGTTTGAAGTGCGTCTTCACACAGCTTCGTTTGTGAGCAGTGAAAACTGAGAAGTGGTGTGGTGTTTGTTGCCTTCCTATAAGCCGTCGTTTCAAGTTCACGGTTAAGGTTTCGCCTGACGAGCACATCCAGGAGGGACAACTGCTGCTGCTGTTCTTCTTCTCTCGTGAATTTGTTATCCGGGAAGACTGCGTTGAGCAGGCTGTGAAAATGTTGCAGCATATCCTTCTTTACGGTGACGAACGTGTCGTCAACGTAACGTCGCCAAAACACCGTTTCATGCTGGAGAAAGGCAATCTTTTCCAACTCCTGTAGGACCAGTTCTGCCACCAAACCGGAGACCGGTGAGCCCATTGGGGTTCCCTTGATTTGTTCATAGGTCTCTCCCGCAAAAGTGAAGAAAGTTTGTCGGCAGAATTCAAACAGCCTCATGAGGTGTTCAATTTTGAGGGCATTATGAGTCTCATCGTACGCCTCTTCAAGTCTTTTGCGCAAGACTTCGCGGGCCACCATCCCCCTTATCAACGGTGAGCAATGCCCCAGAGCAACGCCGTACACCAGGTGCCTACCACTCCAAATAATTATGTAGTTTAATGCCCTGCCGTATCCTGGCAACGAACATGTCGCCTGGAGCCGCTTGTCTATCTGAGATGACTGTAAACCTCGATGCTTCAATTGTTTATTTGTGATTGGATGCTAGCCGATAAGAGTCATATACGCCGGGGACCATAACACGAAACATGTTGTAGACAAAATATAAGTTTGTAGTTCGGAGCGCATGCACTGTTCCTGTCTACGCCTCTCACGTTTACGTGGCGCGAAATAGGGCCGCTTTTTAGGGAAATATGTTTTGGAGTTAATGTCTAAACCAGATATTGGAGTTATTTGCGCAAATGCTGATGTCAGTTTGTACCCAAATATTTCCTGTGTTGTAGAATGTTATTGGGACTAGCCACGTGTTTCGACACACTCAACTGTGAAGAAACACGTATACAATCGAGAACCATTTAAAGCAAGCACCTCTTGTTAATATAAGTATTGATTTAATCCCTTTGCAAATATTAAAAGATATGAGGCGTAAAAACGCCCATGTCGCACATGAAAGAAGTTTGCTCAGCCTAAGCAAGTTCTATTTGTTGATCGGTGAGTTTTTCGTGGCACAAGCCGCTAGGAGTTGCGTCAGTGCACTGCTAAGTATAAGCCGTAAACAAATATACGACGAATGTCTGCAAAGTACCCCTACACTAGCCCTTTACGGCGTGCAACAAAATGCCGAATTCGTCTCTGTTTATTATTTACCAAAGCAAGTCAGATCAAAGCGATCTACATGCACGCGGCAGGAGTCCCTTAGGAGTACTCGCAAACAACATTTTCCCAACATCGTCTATGCGCATGTCGAGAAAAAAATGAATACCTGTACAATTGCAGACGAAGGAGCATTACTAGAGAGCAATACAGTGGTTCTCGATACCCTCAAATATATTGAAGTTCAACAACGCAGACGTTATTAAATAATGAACAGGCATGAGGTTAACAGGACTTCAGACGAAGCAAAACAAGCAAAGGATGCTATTAAAACGATGCTAAGGTCGGTAGAACCAAGATTGTAAAAATTCGCAAATGCAAATAAGTGAAAACGTTGTTAGAGGACGTATTCAGTGCGCGGAAATGCATAACCCACAGCAAACCACTAAGTAAAGAAAACAGTGCGGGGATTGCAATGTGTAAAAGGCCCTTTAGAATGAGCTTCAGTTAATGTCTTCCTAAAAAGCCCTATAAAGTGCGGTTTGGAAAAGGGCCCCTTTTTTCAGGTCTCACGTGGGTTTTGCAAGTGACACGGACTACAAATTGCATCATTTCTCTGCCTTCGTAATGTTTGCTGCATGTCAGACCACGGCGAAAGTAATTTTATCCACTGTTGCGACGAAGAGCCTCAGAAATATAACTTTACCAAAGAGCCTACTTTTAAGATATTCCATTAAACGTTAATTTTCACTACAGTTAGCTGACAGCATAATAAGAATGTCATCTACTGCGTTGCATGATTTATCGGTCTACCGCTGAAGGTGGTGTGTTCTGCATTTGGCCACTTTAGAGAATGACTCTATTTAAGTTTATGTCAATGTTCTTGGTTCTTTCTTATCTTCTGATTAGGTAAGCACACAATTAATATGCTAAAGAACAAACGACAGCCGCCTGTTGTAACTTTTATCTTGTTAGAGTCCCCGCCCTTCATCCTTTTTAGGGCAGTGGTAGGAAGAACAACCATAAAACACTTAATCTTAGTATGTTCTCCGGACGGACATGGACAGCCTCTCTCTCGAACCAGTTTTACCTATCCATCTTAAGGCTAATGTCCTCATCCTTACGCATGCTGTACGCCCAATCACCTATGGATACTTAACCATGCGAAAACCCACTTGTCCTACCTTCAAACGCAATCGTGGCCAGTTGGTGGTCGCCTCATATTGGGCGTGGCGAATCAAACGACTGCCTGTTATTACTGTCGTTTAAGACACAACGCCGCACGCATTTGCAAACCAGAATTTCTGATGCAGAAATATAAGGAGTGGAATGGGCCTCCGTTATTTGAAAATAACGGGTTAATTTCTATCCTGCCTCACCTGCAACGCCATTTACAATAAGATAAGGAATGAGCGTCTTTTGCTTGCCAGTGAGCAAAGTACACAAACCAAAACGACCTGCTCTCGGTGAAAACCGACATTTAGACCAATGGCAAAAAGGCAAAAACCCGAAAATCCATGTTGAGTGGCTAACCGCCGTCTGAAGAAATGCTCAACGCATGCAAAAACGATTACTAGACGCGTCAAAATGGCGACACTTAAAGGCTAATTGTAGCTGGTCTTCGGTCAACACATCTTTCCAGAAATTGTGAAATATGCAGCCTAACGAAGAATCCCTTATTTGCAGAATCCAGGTTAGCTCATAAAATGTCTAGCAAAGTATGTAGTGCGCTTTTGATTAGAGGCGTTTGCTCTAGATGGGGTCGTAATAATGGGTATCCTGCAGTCCAACCTAAAGGTGTTTATATGACGTTACGGTTTCGGTTATGAAATGAGCTTCTTTTCACACAAACTAAAACAATTACAAATAGTGCTAAAAAATCACGCTGACTCCAAATGACCATAAAGATTCCAGTATTGTTTATGGAGGGAAGACTGACTAGTAGTATTCATTACACGTTTTGGCAGCTCACAACGTCTCCTTTTAGATGTGATCGTTGATGAAAAGTTGTTTATTGGCTTTGAGCAGATTTATTGTCCTTTCAACTCGTGAACCCATACAGCAATTACACCTGCATTTTAGACACCAAAACTACTTTTTAGCTATGTTCCGTGCAAGACAAATCACACACTTCTTGATATTGTTAGGAATAAGTAACACAGAGCAAAATATTTCAGTAGATGTGGAACATTTAGACATTTTATAAGGACAATTCACAAAAAACCGGATACGAGGTTGTAGGAGGAAACATTTCAGGGTTATAAAAAGGTTCATTATTAAACAAATTTAAAACCGAAAATTTTTTATTTGTATGTCTTATTTTAAAAGGCTTATTTTGCTGACGAATGTGTATAAAGGGAATATTTTGCGCATGTTTTCTGTGAAGTGTACTTAGACTTATATATTCGCACAAAATCCATGGAAGTAATGCGTGGTACGCGGGCAGTATTTCTCCTTACCGAATGAAATTGTTGCAGGCGACTAAAAGACGCTTGTTTAAAAACTGGACCTTTATCATGACTGGAATATCTGGGGACTATCCTGCAAACTAGCGAGTATTGCAACCTCAAGGTTACATTTTCTAATGGACAGGAAGTTTCAAAATTTTGGTCAGCGTTTCATGAAATGGACCATAAGAGGACGCGCATAGCGAATGCTGGACAAATGGACATGAAAAAACACTTCAAGAGCCATATTTTAGCAGATTCTCTATGTCATACGAAAAATTGTAAGTTATATCACGAGCTGTAAAGTAAGAATTGCCCAGTTTTTGGCAATGTAGGTGTGTTTGTCTGATTTATGACAAGATGCGTCTCGAAAAAAGACGGTCGGTCAGCAAATGGGGACTTTTATATGCTACGAAGGCACACTTTTTGGTTTTCTGTGTTTCTATGACCTAGAAAAATTCTTGTTTCGTAAAAGCAATGCGTAATTTTTTGTCAAAGCTGGAGCATATCAACCTAGAAAAGGCCTTGAAATGTCAGTGGCATCCATTTGGCAATACTAAGTGGTCTGTTTTCCAGAAAAGCAAGTTTCTGCCATTTTTAGCAGCTTAGTTCGACATGAACCCTCCTGTCTTCATAAAATGAATACCTGAAATAAAGCTGTTTTGCGCAAAAAAAAACTACCTTTAGTCGTCTTCTTCCTAAAAATTGCTTGCCTGTGGTATTTTGCAACTACAAACTCACTATCCTCCAGGATATAGTCAGCGAGAATATACTAAAAAGTGTTTTTCCTTATTGTAGCATCCTGACAGATAATATTGACTCTGACGTTGCACACGAAAGCATCACCTTCTTAAATGTAGCTACTGCGTTTATCTCCACGTAGTTTTCGTTTAACTCCTTGCATTGAACTTACACTGCAAAGAGATAATAACAACTTTAATTTACCTCTCCGGCGACTAACACGATGCCCTCTACACCCGCATTTGTTTGCTCACAACACCTTTGCAGATTACTCACGTGAACGTTTTCCACGAGACAAACGTCATTCTACTTATAGCACTTAAACCGCATTCCTTTTGGATGTAAATAACAGCGCTAGCTTGGGAAGATCTGACAGTTATCAAAACCTGCTTCTTGTAGCCTTCAAGACGGCAAAAAGTGCTCATAACGTCCTGGACTGCTGGGCTTAAAATAATGGTTCAGTGTTGGTTAACGAAATTCATTAGCGTTCATTTAAGTTCAAAGAAACGTCATGCTTCGAATGGCCGATTAAACTCAACAGGAACAATCTGAATTTTATTTTGAAAGCAGCTGGTAACTAATTAGAGAAGAAGTGGCGACAAAATGTGTTGGTAACATCAGATCACCCAAATCGCTTGAATTAGATGAAGAAAACTCAAAAGGTTAAGGTCGAAGTGTCGTATTTTTATCTTAAAATGTACCAAACATCGGCTCTCCATGGTCGGCACCGTTTTTCTAACGCGACAGAGAGTTGCTCGCGGCAAAAACACAAATGCCTTATCACATAATCACTGGTGATGATAGATGGTGCCGCTAACCTCAACAAAATGCAAACGTAAGCATAAATGATTTGCGACAATCTAGCAATAATTCATCCGAAGCGGAACCTTTGTCATGGAGAGACGCCGATTTGAGTCTGACAGAAACTTATAGACAATAGAAGCGAAGAGACGAGTCCCAGGAAGTAGTCTTGAAGAAGAAGACACGATCGCCGGGACAAGAGCTTTATTAGTCTGACGTTTCGGATTCCTACTCGAATCCATCATTAGAGACAAAAAACAGAAAAGGGGGGGTGCCGCA